AATCTTTTATTATTTCTTCAAAAAAAAATTATAATTATGAATAATTATCTATGATGGTATAAAATAATTGCTGATTTAATTTAAATTTATTTGATTATTTATGAAAAGGGAAGTCCTTTATCAACAATCAACATGGAAAAAACTTTTGATGATTTATTCATTCATAACTATAACCTAGAAGAAATTCTAAACAGCAAAGTAATAAATCAAAAAAAAATTTTTTAAACAAAAATAACTTACAAATAAAATAAAATTATTTTTATTATCAGAGGGGTTTTGTGAAGATTTAGTATTTTCATAGTTGCAAGCGTCAGTCAATTGATTAAAAATACTAAATCTCCTCAAAACCTCTTCTGATAATAACAATCATATGCTTACTAGTGACTGAGTTCGAGAAGTAAATCCAGGAGTTCTAGTGAGAAGCAGTGACCAGTGGAGTTCAGACCACGTCTGTTGTGAGATAGGAACTCACTGAAGACAATTGGTGAATGGTTGCTCAACTTCGTGGATCAGTTGAAGTTAGACATTAATACCGTCGGATGGCGGCTCAGTGGTCTACCGGTTAGGTGCTCTGGCACGAGACTAGTAGGTCTTGGTTTCAAATCTCGCGAGTGCGGGATCGTGGATGCGCACTGCTTAGGACTCACACAATAGAACGAAACGTCCGTCCAGTGGTTCTAGGTTTTCCACGTTGATCTAGCTTCAATTGACTCACTCTTGCAACTATGAAAATTATTTTTTCTAAAAACATTTTTCATATGGAACATAGTGAATTCAATAATTCAGTTGATAGGAACCATTTTATAGATTTAAAAAAAGAATTATATTCTGTTCTATATTTGAAAAGAAAACAAAGACAAAACTGATCTCAAAGATGGTAAGTGGCTAGCAGTGGAATCCATGACGCGCGTTTTAGTCTTATTTGGGACTGGTCAGCTCGATGTACCTGCATATCAGAGTTGATGTTCACTCTGAGACTCGAACACGGGACCTTCGCTTCAAACGCCATCACGTTATCCACTAAGCTAATGAGTCCTGATAGCCACGTGCTTGTGCACCTTTTATTGTTTGTTTGAATCTTCCCGTTGATGTTTAGGACTGCAACTGGTCAATCTCTTATTAGCATATGTGAATACTATGTTATTGCATCGATATAGCCTTAATTTACAAGCATTATAAGTAAAGATAGATAATGGCTAGCAGTGAAAACGCGCGTCATGGATTCCACTGCTAGCCACTATTCATCTTTGCTTATATTCTATTCTATATATTCAAAAAAAGAAAACAAAAACAAAACTGACATCTTTTACAAAAATAAACAAAAACAAATAAATAAAAATTAAATTAAATTAATTGATTTTTTTTCTACAAAATTTTGATACAACATTGAGATTGAAGAATTACCTATTACTAAATAACTTCAAGAAGTGATTCTAGAAGTTTCAATGAGAAACTATAATGATTGAATCACAAATATGTCTAGTTTACTATAGTTATCCACTATAAGCAATGTATGAAATTTACATAATTAGGCATGTACACTATCGAATTATGAATTTGTAGACTAATTGTTAATGGTTTGGTAATAGTCCTATGTGTATTGAGATTATGGATGCATACTACTGATAAGTTCCATTTTAGACTAACATCACTTTATAGTACATCCAGGATTTTAATGGTGATCTAGCGAAGTGAATTTCATGATTTCAACTATGAAAATTCTTAAATCTCTAATAGCCACAATATACTTAGAAATGGTTATTTATTTTTATTTGTAAAAAGAATATGATTGATCTATGTTAGTTATACTAAGCTACAGCTTAGAACTTGGATTTTTATTTATTTATTTAAACACATAAATATTGGTACAATGAAGCACCAGATAAATATGCGCCTCACAAATCTCATTCGATTTGTGTGAGGGCTGTGATACTGCCCAGGTGCCCAGACTGAAGCAGGTGGTTTTCTTAGGGGGCCACACCCGGAGCCTTTGACCAAAAGGTCTGATCCACAAGGCAGTGGAGCATCGTGAGGAGATGCAGTCCCATGGTAGCCGTTGACCAATGACAGGTTCCTCCGCCATTCGTTCCATCAGGATACTGGAGCCCATGTGCACCATTGGTTTGGAATCAGGGTTTTCCAACTCCCCTAGGTGGACCCTCCGTGTCCACCAACCCGGTTAAAGCGCCGGACATTCGCTTTTCGTCCTCTCACTTTCGTAAACAACGCCCCCGCCACGAGAAGGCAGTGAGTAGGACTTCCCTGGCAGAGGCTATATATTCGCTGGCCATATGAGTATTTCGAGAGGGAGAGGTGACTCTCCCCACTCTTGGCCGTACCAGGGCATTTGAACTTGGAATGCATTTACTATTAGTCTTAGCTTCACATACAAATACCGTGTCATTTCAGTTTTCAACATTATCAAGCTAAACAGACAATCAATCAAAGATTGGGCACAAATACAATATTAACCAGCATCTGTCAATTTTTAGTCAAACCGATTAACATTTGAATCTACATTGAGGGATATCAGATGCGCACTGCTCATGAGTTCCATACGAAGACGAGACGGTCGTACAGTACTTCCAAGTTTTCAATAGTAGTCCAGCTTGAATTGACTCATGAATTCAACTATTTAAATTACTACAATCTCCACAAGTCCCCATTCTGATAAAAATCGATTTCGTTTTAAATTCAATAATCATTTACTTTCTGTTACATTTCATCTAACTTTAAGTATACTCATAATAATAGTTTTATTTAAAAAAACTGTACATTTTTAAAACATCAGAGTGTAATATCATTTGTTTTATACTGGTTAGTTGGCTGGATGTATCTACTTTTTAAAAATTAGTTTAAACAATTATGGCAATAATTTGGTTTTAACTATGAAAACTGAACTTCTAACAGGAAAAATTGTAATACGAAACTGTTGGTAAATGTAGATTCGACTTACTTCCCCAAAAATTAGAGATGATAGTTACTTTTTTTGATAATTAAATTCATGAGTTAATCTAAGTCAGACCACCATGGAAAAATTATAAACACTGGATGGCCGTTTCGTCCTAGTATGAGACTTCTCAGCAGTGAGCATCAACGATCCTACACGCGGGACTCGAACCAAACACCTTTGGTTTCTCATGCGAACGCTTAACTTCTAGACTACTGAGCTGAAATCCAAAGGTGTTAATATCTAACTTCAACTTGTCCGTGAATGGTTGAAAAAGCATTCATCCGTTGTCTGGGATAGATACCTATCTCTAACCGATATGAATTGGATTCCACTAGTCATTGTTTCTCAATAGAACTTCAGAAAATCCATGTTGAAGCTAGTCACCAGTGAGCACATGATGATTATGATCAGAATGGAGACCAATGGTCCTGGACGCTCATTGCTGAGGAGTCCAGTGCTAGAACAAATTGGCCATCCAGTTCTTCCAGGTTTTCCATGGTGATCTAGCATAAATCGATTCATAAATTCAACCAACAAAATTATTATAATCTTTAAAAAAAACCTCATTCTGATAATGATCAGTTTAATCCAAAAATCACTCATTTCACTACAGATGTTACAACATTTTAATGATTAGTTAATAAATATTATGCAGAATTGAAATAATGAGAAAACAAAATAGATTTCCCAATGAAATAAATCGTACAAAATGAATATGGCATATTATACTGAACGAATATTTTACTAAATTAATAATAGAACTAGTGACATTGTCACATTGAATTACTACAGGCATGATATTGTGTTTTATACTGTCTCACTAAATTTTTTTCAAACTAACTTTAGTCATTATAAAAACAACTGATAATTTGTCAGAAATATAACAAACTTGGCTATGCATTGAGGTTGATTAAATGAAGTTAGACATTAACACATTTGGATGCTGGCTCAGTGGTCTATTGGTTAAGCGTAAGACTGATAGGTCCTGAGTTCGAATCTCACGAGACGGGATCGTGGATGCGCACTGCTCAGGAGTCTCACAATAGGACGAAACGGCCGTCAAGTGCTTCCAGGTTTTTCATGGTGGTCTGGCTTCAATTGATTCATGATCTGAACTATAAATTTACTAAAATCTTCAGAAAAGTTTCTTCTAATATAAAAATTTATTGACGAAATTATTAAAACTTTGTTGATGGTACGAGAAATGAGATTTTTTGTTGTACACTAGAAATGGTTATGTATTCGTGACAGTGGAGTGAACATTGGAAATCTGTTAGTATATATGAATTTATTACATTTATCCTTGATATCTTTATGGTACTTTTCTCCAGTCTGAAGTGTTTCTATTAATGATATTTCAAACTCACTAGCTATTACGATCACTCCTATTTTTATAGCTTATATGGGGGACTAATATTAACTACCTGATCACTGAAAATCAGGTAGCAATGGACAAGCGTTTTGTCCTCCTACCGGACTCCTCATTAGTATTATTCACAACCTCATTGGTGATCGAACTCAAAACCTTCAGGACTCATGGTGAACGAATAATCCTTAACCCACTTAATCAACATCCACCTATTTGGTGATATCACGCAACATTCTTTCATTGTCTAAAGTGGATAACTGTCGGAAACTAGACATTATTGAATTTCACTGATTAAAGTTTCCCAATTAAACTTCTGAAATTACTTCTTAAAGTTATGATTGTTAACTTCTGTAGGTTGTTTCTGGCGAGGGTTGAATTTTCTCAGTTTACACAATAGACTGATGTTATTTAAACAACGATTGAAAACTAGAAAACATGAGACAGTTATTTCCGCAATAGTATAGAAGTTAGATTTGATTTAGGTTGTATATATCTATAACTTTATCTAGTTATTATTATAATGTACAATCCATTGTTTACTGAATGGCATAGTAAGATTGAATGTGAATAACATGAATAGCAAATGATGTATACCAATGTTCATGTTATGCAATTTATGTATTCAGCTTTTCTTTTTAAAAAATATTTTTTTGTTTGTTTATATTTTAAATATTTTAGATATCTGATATATCTACATGTTTACCTTCCAATCTATTTGATGATATAAAACCAGAATTAGAAATATGGTCCAATTTATTTAATACATCAGAAATTGTTGTAGATACAGCTAGAGAAGTTTCTACACAATTAAATTTATTGAGTACATTAGAAGAGGATGATATCATAGAAGAAGGAAATGAATGGGAAAAGAAAAAAGAAGATACAGTTAAAAAACAAGAAGAAAATAAAAAAGACAATGAAGAAAATCAAATAGATCATGTTCAATTTGATAAAAATGATAAAACATTAGTGGATTCAAGAAATCATACGTTTATAACAACAGTTGAAAATGATAAACAAGATGTTAGAAAAGACAATGAAGTAAGTTACTTTCTGTTAAAGACTTCTATTGTGTATGTTATTTTTAAAGCTCTTCAATCTGATCCTACTTAGGTACATATAATCAAACAAATTTTAGTAATCTTTCACTCATGAAAACATGTTTGAATCGACTCTATAGTAACTGCAATACTTACTTTTTTTTACTTACGCCTGTTACTCCCAGTGGAGCATAAGTCGCCGACCAGCATTCTCCAACCAATTCTGTCCTGGGCCTACTTTTCTAGTGAAATCTAGTTTTTGTTCATTCTTCTCATGTCTGTCTTCATTTCTCTGTGAAATGTGTTCTTTGGTCTTCCTTTTCTCCTTCGGCTTTCGAAATTCCGTTTGAGGGCTTGTCTTGTGACGCAATTGGGTGATTTTCTCGAAGTGTTCCCAATCCACTTCTAATGCTTCTTCCTCCGCTGGAATCTGGTTTGTTCTCTCCCACAGTAATTTGTTGCCGATAGTGTCTGGCCAACGGATCCGAAGTATCTTGCGTAGACAATTGTTAATAGACACTGATATCTTCTGGATGATGGCTTTTGTAGTTCTGTGTTGACACTTGTATTGAAAATACGGATCTTTGTGTTGGTTGACAATTGTTTTGAGTTCCAGATGTTTTTCAGTTGTAAATATGCTGCTCTTGCTTTGCCGATCCTCGCCCTCATATCTGCATCTGATTCACCGTGTTCATCAATGATGCTGCCTAGAGTAACTACAATAAGGAACCCTTTATATTCATTTCAGAAACATATCGTAAATGACACGCTACTTCACTCTGACAGATTGAAGAACAGAGATAAAAGTAAACCAGTATTCAGCTATTTGTTTAATTGATTTGACGGTACAACATTTCTGATAAATTCCTGTAGAATATATTTAGAGTGTAATCTTTTTACGTCAATTTGTACGTCGACAGTAAATGCTTAACGTTGTAGTTGAATCTATGTACCAACTGCTGATCATCAACACATTCACAGTACAATAAAGAGTATAAACTTCATTTAGTGTTAATCATATAAGCACAAACATTTACTCAATACCTAATTTATACCCGAAATAGATGGTAGATTTTAGTGCATAGATCACAATATTATCGATAAGAAGTATACTTCAAGTAATCCTTAATGATTAAAATGTACACCTAAAGAAAGAGTATACTAGATAACTTAAATTTCGGGTGATTATGTCAGAATTATATTTTAGCAAATTAGTGATATCCTAACTTCTTTGAATATATATTTATGGCATATATGAATGTTGATTGACAACCAAGTGTATAATCATCATTCAATCAAAAATAATCTATTTCAGCATGAGTTACTGTATTAGGTAGAGTTAAGGGATCTATAGAATTGAGCCTTATCGAAGGTCGTGTTATAATCACCGTTGGTGTTAGATGTTAGCTAAGTTAAAATTGTCAATATCAACTAATAAATTCTAACTCATTAGATCAATTAGATTTCATTGAGTGAGAGAATTCAAAAGCATGGATTCAAATTATCTTGGGTTATCAGTTAACATTTCCGATAGATCCCAAACTACAGTGAAACTATAGTATGGTTTGATTTTTTTTAATTTTCGACTTGTGGTTAAAGTTCCCTGAAAACCGCATTTTTAAAGAATAAAAATCATTCAACAGGAAATTAATTATCAGAAGGGGATTTTGTGGAGATTTTAGTAATTTTTTTTACAGTTGAAATCATAAGTCAATTGAAGCTAGACTACCATCGAAAACCTGGAAGCACTGGACAGCCGTTTCGTCCTATTATGTGACTCCTAAGCAGTGCGCATCCAAGATCCCGCCTCTCGAGATTCAAACTCAGGACCTATCAATTGACTCATGATTTCAACCAAAAAAATTAATTATTTATCAGAAGAACGACAATCACTTCCCAGAGCTTGTATGTGCTTCTATATATCATTGTATATTATTTAGTATGCATTCATTTTAAATGTGATAACTAACTATGTAAAAAGTTTTGAGCACGAAAACACTTAGAAGTTCACCTTAAATTGATAAACACTCACGTTCTATTATGGTATTAAGATGGACTATTGAAGTGAACAAGAAATAAATTTATGTTCAAAATAATTTGTCTAAAGCATTCATTTAAAAGCTAGATTTTTCATCAAAATGTTTTTGATAAATCAACCTAGGCAAAAAGGTTATTGTTTATGACATATAACTATCTAACATCACTATAAGTAACCATAAAGCAGCTATTATGTAATCGTTCGAAATGTAAAACTAATCAGGTTAGTATAGAATGGATGGGATTTAGCTAGCAGCGTAGTCTATGATTCGCGTCTCGTCCTATTTAGGACGCCTTCATCGCAGAATTGATGTTCATTCTGGGAGTCGAACTTAGTACCGTTTTCCTTAATGCTACCGAGTGATTGGATATCCAGACTCATTAGCGAAGTGAATAACGTGATAGACTTTGAAGTAAACAGTAGTAGTTTCGAGTATCAATGTGAAAATCAATACCGAAACACATCTACATACAGCACACCACTCATAAATAGAACGAAACTCAAGTCCTAGATTACACTCCCTGTCACATACCATCTTTCATATACAAACTTGTGTCACAATCGTTATATCGAGTTGATCGACATGAGGTGCACCTATGCCAACAATGATTGATTAATTTTGATTCAAAATATTAACAACAGAATAATCCAATCCATTTGAAACTGAATTAAAAGTTCTCAGTTAGATAGTATTCCATGATGAAACCTTTCATCCTGAATATGTAATTTGAAATAAAGATTACTGAAAAACAAGATTAATTCATCACAATCTTTGACAACAATTGTTGACACCTTTTAAATTCATTCTTCATCATTTACATAAGTTTTCTGACAGGTTAGTAAGTTGAAACATTGCATTGTCTTGTTTTAATATTTTTTTTATGACATTAATAAAATAACAATTGATTAATTCAGTTCGAAAATCCAAACTTCAAAATGTTTGGGTGAGATTAAAAGTTTTACAAGTCATTCAAAAATATCATGGATCACGGATCAATTGTACATAGACATTAATGCCTTTGGATTCCGGCTCAGTGGTTTAGGGGTTGAGCGTTCGAATGCAATATTGAAGTCTCTGGGTTCAGGTCTTGCGTGATGGATCGTGAATGCTTACTACTCAGGAGTCCCATACTAGTACGAAATGGTCGTATATTGTTTATAATTTTAAATGGTGGTCTGACTTAGATCGACTTGTGAATTGAACTGTTAGAAATATTATAATATCTACGAATCCCCTTACTGAACAAATATATTATCTATAAAAATCGGTCAATGACAGAATTTCATCTTGGCTAAAAAAATGATTTCATTTTGTGATATAGGCTACTTATGTCTGTCTACATCAGTAGTAGGTAACACACATCAGAAGTTGAATGTCTGTCAGCAGAAGGTTGAATAGATTGAATTGATATGAACAGAAATATAAACAGACAGTAATTATAATAACAATAGGGATGAAAGAACGATCAAGTTTGTACGAGACAATTGACAGAAGATATGCAAATAAAGTATTGAATGTATGTTTTTTATATTTTAAGAAGATATTCTGTAAATTTATATTAAACAGTAAAATTAGTCTTACCCACCTAAATTCTCATTCATTACAATTTCAGACGGCATATGTCATGAGTACTTGTTCCCAAAAAAAAAACTTTACTGTAAATATTTCTAATGTAGTATGAAATAAAAAGAATGTAAAAAATTAATTTTATGATTAAACTAAAACATGACAGTTATTCATTCAGTTTTCATGATAATTTTGAAGTATGTATAGATAAGCAAAGATGGATAGCGGCTAACAGTGGAATCCAGGAATCGCGTTTCGTTTTATTTGGGACTCATCAGCTAGATGTACCTGCATCTTACAGTTGATGTTCACTCTGGAACGTTATGAATTCTGTTTACCTACATCAACTTTTATATTTAATTATTAACATGTTGATTTCATCTGTTTACTTTCATCATCTCAATCTCATGGATTTGAACTTTTACCAGGAGGCTCACTTGTTGACTTAGAATACGCCGACGACATAGTTTTATTCGGTGAAGACTCTGATAAAACGCAGAGTCTTCTGACCACTATAAGCAACAATGCAGGCATGATCAGGATGCGATTCTCTCCCTCGAAGTGCAAAATGTTACTTCAGAATTGGGTTGCATCGACACCTGAACTAATGATAGGGAGTGAAGTAGTTGAACGTGTAGACCACTTCACTTATCTTGGGAGTCTCATCAGCCCTTGTGGTCTGGTGTGTGACGAAATCTCAGCACGGATACAGAAGGCTCGTGTAGCTTTCGCCAACTTGTGCCATTTATGGCGTAGGCGAGATATCCGTCTAGCAACAAAAGGACGGGTTTACTGTACAGCAATCCGTTCCGTCTTACTTTATGGCAGTGAAACATGGCCAATAAGAGTAGAGGATATTCTTGGGCTACTAGTTTTTGATCACAGGTGTCTTCCACGCATTGCTCGTATATCCTGGGACCACCGGGTAAGTAATGCAGTTGTTAGGAAACGAGTACTAGGTAGGGATGGCAAATCGATTGATGAAGTAGTGAAACTTCATCAGTTGAGATGGCTGGGACGTGTTACGTATGCCAACCACCGACTGCCCCGAAGTGCAATGTTTCATGGTGTAGGAGTAAGTTGGAAGAAAGCTGGAGGTGGCCAGACCAAAACGTGGCACAAATCTATTTGCATTGACAACTGCATCTCTGTGCTAATGTGGTATGGCAACTTGAACTGATGTACGTACGTACGAAGTTCTACGTTGTAACTGACTGACTGACTTTCATCTGTTTATAATAGATTAGTTGACTTATTTACTTACTTACTTACGCCTGTTACTCTAAATAGAGCATAGGCTGCTGACCAGCATTCTCTAAGCCACTCTGTCCTGGGCCTTCATTTCTAGTTCTATCCAGTTACTGTTCATTCTTTTCACGTCTGTCTTCATTTCTCG